CCGAGGTGATGCTCGCGTCTAAACAGAGTCATGTATAGCGGGTTTCCATTGCTGTGTGGTCCTCTAACGACACATCGTGAAACGCGGGCTTTACGCTGGGTGGTAAAGCACCCGCCGCCTTCAGTGGGACCCAGCTTTCTCCCAAACTCTTCAAGCTCACGTGTAGGCCTGAATTAATTCAGACGTTGACGGCATGAGCACTGCCTGCATACAGGAATCGTTGCCATGATTTCTTACCATCGTACGCTGCGTTAGTATTTGACTATCATACATTGACAGGCGACTGCTAGAGTGGTCAGTACAGCAAAGCCACTACTGCCTATGTTACAATATCACATCTGAGAACATGCCTGCATTTTTTTAATAACATGATTTTCTTGATAATAGTAATAAGGCTGATAGATGAGGAATTAGGTTTCGTGACTGAAGACAGTTAGTGTAAATTCCATTTTACTTTAATCAATATTCAGCAGTAAAGCAAGGTAATCATTCACACAAACAGCTGCCGGACAGCACACTGATTTGTTTCTGTATGCTTTAAATGGCTTGAGTTTCTTTATTTTCTCATACAGCAAAAAGTCCTGCTGATGGTACTCCAAGAAGACCCGTTTTATCTGTCAGTGCAAGAAAAATTAAAGATAATGCAGCAGACTGGCATAATTTAATGGTTAAATGGGAGAGACTGAATGATGATGGGTTTACTACAGCAAACAAAATAGTCAACATGAAGATCAGTGAGCAGTAAGTATCCTAATAACATATACAAGTAACGACAGCATAAAGATTGCCTTTATTGAGAAATTAATCTGTTTTCTTCACTAGAAAGTTCTTTTTGGAGATGGGGGAAAGAACATGTCAGAGTGGATAAGCTTGCCCTTAGATCAAACTCAGCGGTTGCACTTTTTCGTTACATAAACTATTTACATTCAAATAATAAATGTCTCATAAAGATTAAAATAATCTCATAAAGTAATGATATTTGCAGAAATGGAAAATGTTTATTATACATAGTCAAGCATAACGGATATTTAAAATACTTACATAATGTAAAAAGTTAGAATCTAATCCTATAGATCTCAGCCCATGTGAGTTCCCTTACTCCCTTGCATATTTACACTGAGGCCAGTATTACCAAATTTCACTCAAGTCAAAAGTTCAGCAGATGTTAAGAAAGAATCAGTGATTTATACAGACAAAAAAGTTATAATAGTGATGATTTAAAAAACAGCAACAAAAAAAACCCAAAAAACCCCCACTTTGGTAGAGCTATTGTCTTCATGCTGTAAAGAAAAACCTATAACTAACACAGTTTTGAGAAGAAACTTCTCCAGAGTCCTGACAGCTGAACAGGGTTTGTCTGACAGGGTTCTGACAGGTACAAGCTCAGGAATATTTTGATGTAACGGTGTCAGATGTTGCTTTCGCTGTCTAGCAACTCCCTCTCCCCTGTCTAAGTTTACAGCTTCTGTGGGAAATCAGCAAGACAGGATAGATGTCTGCATGTTAGCTGCTCTGGGTTCACAGTTAAATGTCTTAGCTTAAATTGTGCATGAAGCTGAGGTTGTGGTGAGGCACCGGATTGTCAGCTGGAGCAGCTGAAGCCTGGGCATACCTTGTCCATTACAAGAGAATAACCTACAACACAGGGGCAAGGTAAAATGAGAAGAGGTGTTATCTTAACACCTGCAACCGTTTTTTCAAGCACATACTCTAAAGCAGAGTAATTCTATGCTCCTCTGAAGATAATGGCACCAGCCCCAATTGCTCACATGGCTAGCTACGTCTCTCACTATTTTATGTGGGAATTCTCATGAACAGGCTGTGAGAGAGAGATTTTGTAGGATCAGACCACATGGATTTTAAATCTGCACAGCTCGAGTAAACCTATATGCGGTTGTTTACTCTGCCTTACATTTCTGTTTCAGATTTCAAGACAACAAACTGGAGATAGCATGTGATAACAGTGCCACAGAATCTGAAAAGCCAACTCCAAAATATAATCAAGAACTGGACAATTGCTGTGCAGAATTACTTGAGACCTTAAAGCATATGGTAATGCTCACTTTTCAATCTTAGTCAATATGAATCAATTCCAAGTGTGTTCAAGTATGACATAAGGAAATGTCCTCAAGTATTTGTTGTAAACAGAAAACTGGGATTTTTATTCATAGTTCTTTGGCTTCAAACCTAGATGATTATGAATCCAGTGTGCACCATTTATTTGCTTGATTGGTAAATTTGAAAGTTGGTTTTACATCTGCCTTCTGCTTATAATTCTACTCCTCCCTTCATAAAGTGATCTTCTGAAAATGAGTCGTACAAAAAAAATGCATTCTAAAACTCTACCTGTTTTCTGTTTTCTCATCCTGAATATTCCCTCTGTTTAGAACAAAACGAACAACAAAGCATAAAGCAGTTCTTCACCTGCCATCATATCCTTGCAGCTATCTTTGATCAGTCATAATGCGGTTATATTTTTAGTTTGCCTACCTGCATTTTCTGTGCAGAACTCCTTCTCTAGAGAGTAGAGTAAGATAATTAATAGGTAACCCACCTGTTTTCTGGATACATTGCTAGGAATTAATGTCACCTGTCAGTTTGACAGGGAACAAAAAGAATTTTTTTGCCTGATACTGTAATTTAAAATTCTTATTAAAAATAACTTTTCCAGCCTTCTGCCATAGTGGAAGTCCATTAAAAAGATGATAGATCTCTTTTTTATATTGACAGGATACCAGTCCAGTATTTAGAATAAGCAGGAAAGCAGCTAGATTTTCCTCAGTTTTTGTTCTGTGGGAAAAAGTAACAAGTAATTTGGGGTTTTTTTCCTTTTTTTTTCCCTTGAGGTAGTTTTGTATTCAGACTACAAAGTGTGTTGATGCAATTTTTTATTACTCCTGAGTAATAGGAGGCTAAGCAGTCACTGTTAGATTGGATACTAGGCATAGCTACTACAGACATATTTTTCATTCCTTATGAGTTCTTACCAGCTTACGAGTTTATAGAAATATCTGTATTTTAGCTTCTTGACTTAAAGATACTCCCTGCAAGCTCCATTTTATTGTAAATATTAGCCCCCATCAGTAATGCACAAAGTCAGGTGAACGTGAAGGAAATGGATGGAATGACCTGTTTTTCGAAGCAAGCTGTTAAATCAGCCTAGATATATTGTCAGTTGTAGCTTGAGCTGCTTTTCTCACCTGCTGCTGATCTTTTGAAATCAAATTTAAGTCATCTTGACATGGTAATGTAAGAAAGCATGTGTTTATAGGGCTTGTGTCACACTTGTTCACAGACAGCCTGGTGTTTTTCCCCAGTACTAAATTGCTACGGGAAAAACCCAGAGAGAGGTGAAAAAAATGACCGCGCACTTTAATATATTTCTAAATGGGGGAAACAAAAGAATTATGCAAAATCAGAGTCAGTAAGTCATATCTGCAGTGATCAAAATTTTAGGGTATCTCATATTAAATCTGTATATAAATTCCAGCTTTGATTCCTGTCTGGAGTTAAAAAAAGTGAGTTAGAAATGTTAAGACTAAATAGTCTTCAGAAATAGTGTGTTTAAAAAAACGTTTACGATTGTAGTAGCCTAATGTTCCTGAGATGTTCATTAACATTACATGTTCATCATTTTCAGACAAAAATACAACTGAAAATGGAAAAGCTTACTTCGACTACTAAAGCAATCTGTGACTTGGAAACATTCCACCACGGAGCTGGGAATTGCACAGCACCCTTTTTTCATACGTGGCCCACACCGTACTTCTGTAAGTAGAATATTGATTATCTTAGCTAATTGCATTGTGTCATCGATGTCATCTAATTTAGGACTGGAAAATAAACCCTTTTATCTGGATGTCTTGCCTTAGAGAGAGAGGGAGAGAGTATATCTGTCTCCTTTATAATTGACTAATCAATAAACACATGAATGCACCACTTGGCTTAGGGTTACTGCTGATGACTGCTCGTGTGAATTGCCAAGCGTTGTCTGACATGCAACAATTACAGCATAAAACTAAGCTTGTCAGCAGCTTACAGTGTCCAAGCTGCAACAGCCGCATCCTTTGTAGAGAGAGATGTATTTGCAACTTGGTAGTGTTAAGCCGTAGGCTTAACTGACTTGACTTGTTACTTGACACTGAAACGAAATCCTTGAATGCAAAGAACACGCTGTACCTCAGTTAATTCTTAGGCAGCCAAAGAAAAATTCCTCTGATCTCAATGTCAGTCAAGACAGGTAAAGAAACGTTCAGTTACTGTCTACTGTTAATATAAATTCTTTTAGCATTCACTTGATGGCAAAAGGTACTGCCTCCCAACTTGTATTACCGCAGTTTTAAAACTGTTTGAATTCAAGAGAAGCCTGATTGCATGCAAACCAGCTGCCTTCTTTGTGAAGTGAAAGTCATACCTTTGTGAAGCCCTGCTTCTTACTTTACTACCACAAGTTAGCGGGAATTTTATGTATTGGCTTCTGCCAGCTTAAAAGGGTAAGAATGACAAAGACGACTGCTGTCAAAACGCTCATTGTGACAGACATTTAGTGATGCTCTCTACTCCATGAAAGACTAAATCCTCCTGAAGGTAGTGATAGTTCAGGCTAAGTTAGAAACACAAGATCAGTCTCTCTTTAAAAATAATTTGTGTGGTTATTTTTCAGAAAGTCAAACAATTAAAGACTATTACATAAATATATTTTAACCCCCCTACCAGTATTACTAACATAACTAGTAACAATATTAGTTTTTACATTACACACTTCATTTTTGGTCTGTTGTTTTGTTTCACCGGTACTTTTCACTATTGGTATCACTTACTGGGGATCATGCATTGCTAAAGTGCCTGACAGCATGTGAGGACATCCTTTAGATTAGCTAAAATCAATAGTGACTCTAAAATGTGAAGCTTGTATTTCAAGATAGCATTACTGAATTTTAAAATCAAATTTCAGTTATTTGAAAGAATATCTATAATTGCTAATTTTACAGTGGGTCCTGAGAATCAATACCGCTGCTTATTCTAGAATTAAAAGGGGATTCATGTCAAAATCATGAGTGTATAAAATATATCCAAAAGCTGAGGAAATTATTTAGCGTTTTATATTCTAGTGTACAAACATTATTAATGCTGTAAAAAACAAGATGTCTAAATATGGGGAATAGCTTATGAAAGGTAGGGTTTTTTTTAATGATCAACATATTACAAGTGTAATTTAACTTTTAGAGAATAGCTGAAAAGTTCTGGTCAATGTGCTTGGTTTTTCAATCCATTTCAGATGACGTTTCTCTGAAGCTCTCCGAAATGTACAAGAAGGAACTGCAACTCAAGCAAACAATTGTACAAGAAATTGCTCATTCTGCTGACCAGGATCTGATGATGGTCTATTTATCGTCATGGTTATACCAGCCTTACATTGAGAACAGCAGCAAACTACTACTTGAAGCCATGCTGCTGGAAACAGGACATAGGCAGTGCTAGAATTTCAAATGTTACATGGCTTGCTTCTAGTGATGCTTACATGAAACTGAAACGGCAAATTGCAAGGCTTACCAAGTAAGTTGCATTTTTGTAAAACTTATTAAAAATATTTTTCTCTACTGGTATTTATTATTTTGTCTCAGCTGATACTCCTTTTTTTTCGTGGGACAATCTGGTTTTGGTTGCTTTATCCATTTTAAGTGCAATAGAGAGGCTGCAGGTGGGAGGCCAAGTCCCCTATAATCAGAAAGAGGTAAGCACTACTTGGTGGCCTGGGGGGATTCAATGCACATAGGTACCTACAGCGAAGAATTTAACTACTTCCCAAGTCTTGACAGTCTAAAATACCTACGTTGTCCCTTCCACCATAGAAATTCAGCACTTCTTGATCTTTCGTGGTTTGGGTTTTTTTGCATGACTTAACAGGGCTAGTGCTTTTGTACTTGCTTTATAAATGGGGAAAAGGAAGGCACAAAAGGCAGGATCCAAAAGGATCCACATAGTTTGGTATGTGGTTCTGAAATGCTGTCGGAGACACTAGTGTAAATTCTGGTTTGGTTTTGATCATAGCGTGGTTAGGTACATCACTCGTGAAGGGTGGTCCAAGCCTGAACTATCACACTGGGAAAGTTTAGTACAACTCACCATTCCACAGGCACGATACAAAAAGGTCTTGTCTCTTTTAATTCATTGTAACTTTTTTCTTTTAGAGATGTTTCATGAAAGCATCTGTTGAATAAAAACAAGACCTGCTTCAGTCATGTCCTTATCCCGTGTTGTTGGCTTCCTGTCAGAGGGCTCAGTGAGTTCTTCCTGGGATTACTGTTTCTGATGCCAAGTGGTTTTGGTTTAAAGGTGTGCCCCCTCTGTATTTTTGGTTAGCAGTTTACATGACAAGAATCAGTGACTCAAATTCTTGCTTTTCTTTTTCATGCTGCTTTCTTGGAAAAGAGAGTAGAGAGTGTATTCAGGAGAAACAGTTAATGCAAAAGCTGACCGCTGAAGTGGAATTCCATACCCTTAATATGCTTTCATTCCTAGAGACGTAATAATCACTGTAGCATACTATTATGTCAGACCTGGGTAGCATGGAGAAGCTGCTACGCCTACCCAGCCTTTAATAACTGTTAGCTGCTATTGCAAATTATCACTTCTCAGAAAAGTGTATTATGTGGAAACTACGCAGCTGTGTCATCACATTTTTACTTAAATCCCTAACGTGTAGTGAATTCAGGCCTTCTGCTTACTTCAGTATGATTAATAATCTAAATTCCTCCCGCTTACTGATCGCCTGTATGACCTGCTCCTATATAAACTGTTGATTTAGATCTCCTATTTCACACAATTGTGTAGTGTTTCTAAGTGCTGTTGACTTGTTGTTGTGCCCTGACAGATGTTTACCCTTGATTCTACTTTAAACAACTGTTTGAACTAGAAGACAGTTACAAAAAAAGCATGCTGCTATGAAATGACCATAATGGCTGTGGTTTGATACTAGAAAAATCTAATTAAAACACTGAGAGATTCTGGAACAGATTTCTCATAGGAAAAGTAGGGTCACTTACTTAACTAGTTCCAAGCTGAAACCCCATAAGCTCGGTAAGGGAAATACATGAGTTTCCTGCAATAAGGGAACAGGCAGACATGAATTGGAAGTTTTCTCGACACATGGCTCTGTTCAACAATGAGGTTGTTTCTGACGGCTTAATAGTATTCTATTCGTACCCCAAATTTCTAGCGTCTAAAAAGAAATTCTGCTGTAGCTCAAGGAGAATACAATATTTTGAATAGCTTTGTTGGGTTTTACTATTTTTCTGTGCAAGCGTTCCACCTAGTTTAACAGCCACCTTAATTTATCCTCATAGGGCCAGACCCTTGTCACTATGGAAACACCTTCATACTTGAAAAATATTTTTTGAGGAGAAAAGGTTGATTCACTTATAGAATTGTTCTTTTAAAATGAGAATAGGTGTATTGTATTTCTCAGCACGTGCAAATCAATAGGGAAGGCAGAATTGAAGCAAATTTTCATTTTCTGCACAGGTGGAAATCACTGTTTGTTCTTGTTTCTTAGAGGAAATAAGCTCTTCAGGAAGGAGTCTTCATATTCATAGACCCCCTTGCTCATTGACTGCTATCGGATACAGGAAGATTACTGCAAAATCATTGCAGAGGTGTTTTGCCATTGTAGCTTTAAGCAGTTGATTGTTACATTGTAGCTATTAGACAGTCAGTACAAAAGAGCATAATAAAGAATTGCTCACTGCAATCAAAGACTTTGAAAGACCAACAGAACCTTGCTTTGTATGGTATCTTCATGGATAAGGTAGGCCTGTATCCTCTCACCATTACCACCTCCTGAAAAAAAGAGGAAAAAAAACCCAAAACAACAACTACACCATAAACCCAACCACCAGACAGGAGCTCACTAACGTATGATGACACCTTTCACATCCACACATAAAATGCAGTGTTTTGGCTAATCAAATTAATCTTCTACTTGGGCAACCAAGTGAAAAAAAAAAAAAAACAGCAAAAACCCAACCAAACACCACCAAAACCAACTACCTTAAAGAGAGAGAGTAGAGCAGATTGTTTCATCTCTAAATTGTCCCCTCGTTTAGATTCAATGCTAGTGTAAGTTTTTACTCAGTAACAAGACCATGAAAAATCAATGTTCATACTTGATTTAAGACCAGTCCTCCTGCATATTACAGGTCCTTTTAGCTGATTTGTCCAGTTACCTCAGTAGCCTTGTGTATTTAGCAATGAGGCGACACACACATTTCAAAAGGTATGCTACCAGTTTTCAGTAATGTCTACAATAGCTCATCAACAAAATAAAGATACTGGTCATTTAAGGCTGTTCTTTTTCACCTGCTAAGCCTCTTGAAAGAAAAGACAGTGCCTTGGACAAGAAGCTGCTAGGAGGTCTCCACAAAAATATTATCATCCAAGTAACATACTGAAAGTATCACAAAAATACAAGATAGCAGTAGATAAGTAATTTGGTGAGTTTTCTGTCTGCATAGAGAAACAGGGATTATAGTCAAGGGTATCTTTTTATCATGATTAAATAGTACAGGGCAGTGTGGAGTTACTAGGAAGGTCAAAGCTTAGAACTGATAAAGGATGCATCATCTGAAAGAAAAAGTATAATACAAGTCTAACAAAAATAGACCATCACAGACTAAAGTAAAAAAAGAATTTGGCATCTCATTAAGGAAAATCAGATCACTACTTATGCACCTTCCCATTTCTGTCTAAGTAACAGCAGTTTTTAAGAGGTGTGGCTGAACATTAGACAAGCATACTTAAATACATTTCCAACAGTCCAGTACAAGTCAGATCTTGTTTGAAGCTATTCTTAACTCTAACTCAGTGGATGCATATTTAAGTAAGGATCAGCTAGGCTGTCACATTGTTCCTGGAAAGCACAAGTGTTGATTATATTTAAAACTGCCCATTTTTCCAGGCAGACTTGTGCGCATCGTGCTAGCTTTAAGAAAGTGCAATAAGAAAGTGTTTTGTAATCTCAGTGGCACAGAAAATGCACATTTTTAATATAGTTTTTATTTTACCCATATACAGCTTGCCAGTACACAGCACATCACTGCTGAACAGCAGTACAACTTACTGCATTTTTAGATGGCTAGAGAGAAGAGGAATTATGTAACAAAAGGGAATAGTGCAACAGTTTTAAGGTTGACAGATTTCCACTTTCCACCCACCCCCAACATATAAAGCAAATAGGACGATGTTAATTCTAGAATTTTTGGTTGCAATGCTGCTAGATTTATATAAACATAAGTTATAAAAAGTACAGGGCATAGAAACAGTTTACAAATAAGTTAAATTCCAATTATTTCAGTATTCACATTAGAAAAATATACATTTTATAGAGTCTTTTCCAGAAGAAAGCATATACAGTTCTCTAACTTATGGCTCCAATTCACTTTGCGAGAGCAAAATATCTTCACTTTGGCCATCTGCTTCCATTGCCAGTAGTGCTTCCACGGTTTCCAAAGGTATCCCCTCAGGTGTGCGGATGTGCATTGTAGTACCATTGGAATCAGTTACAATAACGATACCTTCTGCCTGAGACAAAACAGCAGTATCTGGATGAGACAGGATAAGCCCATCTGAAGTCTGAATAAAAATCTGTTCGTGTCCCTGAGACAAAAAATCATGGCTCTCATCAGTAATCTCAAAGGCTACAGTTTCATCTACAGTAACTGTATTCTCCAGCTCATGTTGTTCCTCTGTCCCACAAGAAAATTCATTCATGTTTTTAAAAGAGTTTTCCCGGTTCACATGAGCAGACAGGGAGGCTTCCTGGACAGGGTTCTGGTGCGACTCAGTCTGAGCACTGTGTGGGTAGTTTATTGGCACGATGTTTGTTGAAAAAACTTTTTCAAGTTCCTGCATCTCATCAGTCATGTCAGCATTACGAAGTTGTTCAGAATGTTCTTTAATTGCAAAATTATGGTTTTCTTCTTGCAGTTTCTGATATTTTTGATTGTGATCATTTTCTTCACTCGTTGGTAAGCTAGTGCTCTGACTGCCCGCTGCATTCTCTGACACAGAGTTGCAAAGTTCAGGAGCAGACAGTCCACCTGCTGTATTCTCACTCGCAAAGTGCACTTGAACTAATTCAGGTGAGCCGTCTGCTTCAACGGGCAATACAACTTCAGTATGTAGCAGAGATGCGTCACCTGCCATATCTGGTCCCTGTATGTTCACAGGTTGGGAATACTCCATCCTCATTTTCACAGTCTGGGAGAAGGTACCTGAATTTTCAGCATCCATTCTGACTCCTGAATCAGCAAGTGAATTGTGTTCCTCTGCTGTCGGTAATACACTTCCAGTTGCGCAGCAAGCGATATGCCTATCTTCTGAAAGCAGGATTTCTCCATTTAATGGATTAAAACCTGAAAAGGTGAAAGAAATATAATTTTGTTGGGCAATCTAATAATCACATGACCAAAAAATTGCTTTTCAGCAATAATTTGGAGGAAAAGCTAGACTACTCCCCTGCTTTCTTCCCCCAAATTAGCAAACGTGAAGCACCTTACGAGAGTTTCACAGCACTTCCCAATGAGAAAGCCAGTATAAAAATACTTGAGGAAT